GCTTCGTTCACTTTAACTAATTGTTTGGTCAGAACATACATGGCCTTCATCTTCTTTCAGGATGATTGGGGAAGTGGGTTGATCAAATATTCTGTTTAACTAAGAGTCCCAATCCCCTTGCCTTAAATGACCTCCCTTCTGCTACATACAGGGATGTTGGGGGAGGGGGAAAGTTTAGCACCCAGGGTAAATCACATTAGTACTTCCTCTAATGCCCCATCGTGCTCATCCTCATCCTTCTCATCCAGGTCACACAGGAACCTTGGACTCACTGGGGAAAAAATAAAATACTATTTAATAAATAAATAAGAAGAGCCTTGGACTCTCTACCTGTGAAATCACTCTGGAGTTTGGTTGTTGAACTCCGCCTTATTTTTACAAGAACCCAGACCTCTGGGTCACATCCAGGCCACCATTTCCAAACCATGCTGCCACACTTATGACCCCACCCTTATCAATCAACCAATCAATCAATCAACATTTATTAAGCATCTACTATGTGCCAGGCACTGGGGATACAAGAAGAGGCAAAATACAGCCCCTGAACACAAGGGCAGGGAACTTACAATCTAACAACATGCAAACAAATATATACAGAGCAAGCTACATACAGGAGAAATAGGAAATAATTAACAGAGGGAAGGCATTGGAATTACAGGGTTGGGAAAGGCTTCCTGTAAAAGGTGGGACTTGAGTTGGTAGTTAAACAGTCAGGGAAATCAGCAGGTAGAATTGAAGAGACAGAACATTCCAGACATGAGAATTTGTCACACATACCCCTTTCCTGTACCACTTTATGGATTGTCTTTTCCCATTAGATTATAAACTTTTTGAGGGCAGGAACTATCTTGCTTTCTTGTATTTATATTCTCAATGCCTGGCAAACATTAAGTGCTTAATAAATGTTCTATCATGGTTATCATGATCATCAGATTCAGAATTGGCCTTCAATTGTCTTTTATATGGAACTCTGTACTACTTACTGCACAGGACGCTACATAATAAAAGGGGAAACATCGATGCTCTAACCATTAAGATAACTCAGTTCTAGCCCTGGCTCTGCTGAAAACAAGCTGTGTGACTTTGGTCAAGCCACATCTCTCCTCTGGGCTTCACTCCTCCCATCTGCAAGGTAGAGATGTTAGACAAGATGCTTCCTGAGTTTCTTCCAGTTCTGACATTCTACGTAAAGAAGGCATGCCTGGGAAAGGGTTGGATGTAACACATCTTTTTTTTTTTTGGCCAGTGTTTGTTGGCAATATTGGCAATAGCTTTCTGCTGTTCCCCAAATCAAGAAGCTCAGGGATAGACGTGTCCATGGGTCCATGATTCTATAAGCTAGCTCTGTTCAGTGCCTGAGCGGGAGCTGAAGAGAGGATGTAATGGACACATCTTAGTTGACTGACCTCAGAGACAAGCTCTGGTAGGGAGTAATGAAAAGAAGATTGGGTCCAGCATTACAGGAACTGGTTTCAAATCCCAGCTGTCCCATATATATACATACATACATATACACACACACACACACACACACACACACACACACACACACACACATATATATATAGCATGTGTATATATATAGTGTGTGTATATATATGTGTGTGTATATATGTGTGTGTATATACAGTGTGTGTATATAGATATGTGTATGTATATATGTGTGTGTGTATATATATAGTGTGTGTATATATGTGTGTGTATATATACATATAGTGTGTGTATATATGTGTGTGTGTATGTGTATGTGTGTGTATATATATAGTGTGTGTGTATATATGTGTGTGATGTATGTATATATGTATGTGTATATATATAGTGTGAGTATATGTGTGTATATGTGTATATGTGTGTATGTATATATGTGTGCACGTATACATATATGTGTGTATATGTGTGTAGATATATGTGTGTGTATATGTGTGTGTGTATATGTGTGTGTGTGGTGTGTATTCACCTTAAGAAAGTAATTTCTACCTTCCAAGCCTGAGTTGGTTCTTGCATAAAAATAAAGGTATTTGATTAGATGATGACAGTAAGAAAAAGGCAGATTGAGAGAAAAACTACATAGTGTGATTTGAGAGGATCCTTCTAAAAAGGGCACCCAGTCCTCAAAATATCTTCCCAGTGACCTGAAATTCTATCATTAGAATAATTTCTTAAGATCTTTCAAACATCTTATTACACCAGAACTCCAGAGAAATGTTATTTTTTTGTGGCTCATTCGTTTTTCAGTCATGTCTGATTATCTGTGACCCCTTTTGGGGATTTTCTTGGAAAAGATATTAGGGTGGTTTGCCATTTCCTTCTCCAGCTTATTTTACAGATGGGGAAACTGAGGCAAATAGGATTAAGTGAAAGGTCATACTTGGAGACTAACACAGGAATAGGTTGATAACTAGCTGAGTGAGGAGACTCAAAATGAGTAACGGGGAGGCAGAAGCACTCAGACGGAAAAAAGGAACAGGAAGGAATGCTGTCTCCTTTACCGTTATATTGGGGGCCAGCACTCAAAATGGCATATAAGTATGTGTGCAGACCCCTAGGACCCATAGATCATACCTAACCTGAATGACAAGTTTAGGTATTCATGGATAAGAAGGTAGCTTAAATGCTGGGGGGGGGTTGGGGGGGAGAATTTTCCGATTTTATGCCTTCATTGTTTTTCAAACAAAGCCTAAGCTTTGCTAACATGCCTTTGCTCATGATGTACCCCCTGCCTGGAATCCCCTCTTCCCTGTTTCTTACTTATTGAAATCCTACTTATCCTTCAGGCTCAGATCAATCTCCCCACCCCTTCCACCATGAATCCTTGCCTGCCGACTTCATCCTAGGTACTCTCTCCTGTCTCTGCCATTCTTTGGGCACTTGGCCCATACTCCTTTCTACTTTGTGGTATCTTTTCCCATGTTAATTTCTGTAGTCCTTCAACTGGACTGCACACTCCCTGAGGGAAGACACTGCTGCTGATGAGGCTTTGCGTCTTGCCTCCAATGCCTACTGCATATGAAGCATAAATTCAACTGAGAAGACCATATGGTATACAGGAAAGAGTACAGATCTGGAGTCTGGAATCAAAGGATCTGAGCTGAGTTGCTAGTTCTGCTATTTGCCATGTTTGTGACCTTGGAAAAAAATGCGACCTGGGACAAGGTTTCTTCCTGTAAAAAAATTCGGGGACTGAACTAATTCTAAGTCTTATTCTGATCCATTTCCGATTTCTCTCCTTGCTTTTTCTCACCTCCTCCCCAGACAAACATTACCCTCTAAATCTACCAGCACTCAATATTCAATTTAATCTGGAACAAAATGTGAAAGTGGAGGAGGCATACATGAGAGAGAGGGTTAGGTATAACATAACCTTTTTTTTTTCTTTTTGGCCAGTGTCTAAGTAGCCAAAAGTTGAAAACTGAGTGTTCTCATATATTTGGCCCAAGGAAAATCCAGTCTGGTGGGGTTTGCTCTTTACTTTATCAGACACAGCAACAACATCCTTAATAAATCATGCTGAGTGCAGCAGAAGGGGAAGGGAATAAGTATTTATTAATCCCCTGCTGTATGCTTGGCATTATACTAAACACTTCACACATAATATCATGTTTGATTCTTATAACAGTCTTGGGAGGTAGGTGCTATTATGGTCCCTATTTTACAGTTGAGGAAACTGAGGCAAACAGAGGGTAAGTGATTTGCCCAAGGTTACAAAGCTGGTGCCTGAGGCAGAATCTGAGCTCAGGTCTTATCGATTCCAGGTCCAGCATTCTCTCCACTATACCATCTGGTTGTCTCCTGCTAGAAAGGAGACATGAGAATTCTCCCAGCCTGGGGTCCTGTTGACCCCAGAAGAGGCAAGAAGCTTGGTAAAATGGAAAGAACTGGAGTTGGAGCCCAAAGATTTAGAAGATTCTGGTTGAATTCTCAACTCATATTGGGTACATGACTATAGGCAAGTTATTTTCCCTCTCCCGGCCTCAATCTTAAGTGCAAAATTAGAGTTGGACTAGATGACCTCTAAGATCCTTTCTTGTTCTGATACTTTGTGGGATGGTGACTTCCCAAACTGGCCCCCAAATCTGCATCAAGGGACTATTACTATCCTCTCACCTCTGTGACAGTGAGGGTTAGTGGTCACCCCTATTCAGGAAGGATACAGGGAAAAGGAAGAAAAGAGCTCAAGAGAGTTAGAGAACATTCTTGAGTTTTAGGTCCAAAGACATAAAGAATCTGTTCATTCTTTGAGACTCAATTCCAGTGCCACCTTGTCCGTCCTGCTTTCTTTGTCTGCTCTTTGCCCCGGATTATTCATTTCTCATCTACATGACCGAGTGCTTACTCTGTACTATTCATATGAGGGCAGTGCATGGTTTGGGGACGAATTTAATGTGACATTTAAGGGCTCTTCCAATCTGAGATACTGTGGCTACAGCATATGGAATGTCTATAGTTACCCCATAAACTCCTCTAAGGCAATAATAAAAAGTCGGCCTAATGTAGTGAAAAGAAGGATAAATTAGAGGCAGAAGACCTGAGCTCAAATCCTGACCACACCACTCTACAACGGGACCAAGTCACTTACCTCTTTGGGTTTGAGTGTTTTCATCTGTAAAACGAGAGGGTTGGGCTAGCTGGTCTCTAAAGTTTCTTCCAACTTGAAATGGACAATCCTAAATTTATGGACTATTAGAATCCAGAGTTGGAAGAACCAAAGAAGGTACTCTAATTTAACCTCTCCTTTTTATGAAAAGAAGAGATTGAGATTCAGAATGATAATTGAACTTGCCCAAGGATTCAAACCAAGGCCTCTTGTTCCAAATCCTGTGTTTTCCAGAAACCTCCATCAGGTTTACCTGTATGAAAGGCACCTGCTCATTTAGGAATCTCTAAAATGATGACAGACTCCTCTGCTATTCCTCTATTCAACAACAAAGATCTCAGGTTCTCTCTCATTGGTCAAAACTGCCCCACGATGAAAATGTCTTCTTGGTACTAAAATTCACACCTTTAGATTTTAAAACAATTTTATTGATATCTTTGTTTTTATATCATCTACATTCCCCAATATGCCTTTCCTGTCTCCCTTATACAGCCATTCCTTAGAATAAAGAATCAAAAAGTGGGGAAAAAATTCAGCAAAACTAGCCAATGAATGAATCAAGTTCAACATGGCATGAAGTGCTCCATGCTCATAGTCCCCCACTTCTACAGAGCAAGGAGGGCGTTGCATTCTCACATCTCTTCTTTGGGGCCAAGTTTGCATAACTTTTCATTTGTTCACTCATTTTCAACTTGTCTGTTGGATTAATGCAAACGCTTCTGTTGTTCTTTCTCATAGCCGACCACATAATTTGAATTACTTCCTATAAAATAAACCATAGTTGTATCAAAATAATTGCATCAACTCTCCCCTCTCTCCCTTCAGCCTCCCCTCAAAACAAACAAAGCCTCCAGTATCTCCCCACTCGCTACAAAACAATATAGTGGAAAGAGCACTGGTTTTATATTTGAAAGATTTCGTTTTGAATCAGTTCTGATATTAGTTGTATAATCCTATGCAAATCACTTCATGGTCTTTGTGCCTCAGGTTTGTCATCTGAAAAGTGGGCACCTGGGTATACTAATAACAACAATAATAATAATAATAACTAACATTTACATAATATTTAAAGATTTACAAAGCACTTTGCATATGTTAACCCCTTTGATCCACACAACAACTCATGATTTAGGTGCTACTATCCACATTTAACAGATGAGTAGTGGATAAATTGTAGGAAGACCTGGGTTCAAAGATCACTTCTGATATTTAGTAGCTATGTAACCAAGAATAAGTCATTTTTAAAGATCTTCAAACCTCAATTTCCACATTCTAGAAACAGAATAATATCTCTTCTACCTACACCTCATAGGGCGGTTGTGAGATTCAATAATAAAATGTATGTGAAACATTTTGTAAGCTTTAAAATGCCATACAAAGAGCAGATAATTATTATTACTAACCTCAAGGGGTGGTTGTGAGAAAGTTCTTTTTGTAAACCATAAAATACTACAGAATGGGAGCTAATGTTATTACTATTACTACAATAACTCCTTTTCTTGACCTTCAGTGCCCTCAGAGCCCTGGCCTCAATTTGCCTTCTTTGTTATCTATTGCGTTCTACACTCTATACAACCCAGCCTTTCTAAACTAATTGCCATTCCCCAAACATTCCTTATTCTTCCCTGACTTGCCATTCTCATCTATGGAATATCCATCCAATATCCTCCCAATTCTCTGCCTATCAAAATCCTTTGAGGCCTAGCTCTAAGAAGCCTTCCTTTACTGACTTCCTCCTTCTCCCTTACTTCCATGCATTCCTATAGTTTGTGGTGCTTATGTAGACGCATCACATTCTGCCTTGTATTCATGTGCTGCTCTTAGTATATATTTTCCCTATTAGACTGTTTCAATGAGACAGCTACTCTAAGCTGCCAGAGCCCATTCCTAATATCTACGTTCTTTAACTGATGCACTGTGGTTGGGAATCATGGAGCACCATGATCCCAGAGGAATCCCAATGACAGACAATAATGATGGCCAAGAGAAAGGAAGGTGGTACATGTAAGTAGGAGGGAACCTGTCCCTAGGACTATGGCGTCATAGATTCAGAGCTAAAAATTACCTGAAAGCTCATCTAGTCCATGCCTTCATTTTACAGAGGAAGAAACTGAGGCCCAGCATAGTTAAGTGACTTTCCCAAAGCATGCTGACACCAAGTAGCAGGGGAAAATTTGAAACCATGTCTTAAGACTTCACATCTAACACTTTCCACTGTACTTGGTAGAAAAGGCATCCTGAAAGACAGGGATGTCTGGGAAAGGAGGTAGGATGACTATATGGGGCCAATCAATAATTAGCAGATCGATAGCCCAAATGCCATGCTGGTAGCCTTGAAATATTAAAGGAACCATAGCAAGGCCTTTCAGTGCCTTGGATCAGTTATCCAAGGAGGACTTATGGAAAGGTGTGGATGAGAATCACTCACATTAGGAAGACATGGAGAGATTCTGATCTGCACTGGGGTAAGGGGTGCCCACACTGAAGCATTTAAATACATGCTAGACTCTAAGTTCTGTGAGGGCAGGGACTGTGTCTTGAACAACTATGTATACTGCATAGTTCCCAGCACAATCCCTCAAGCACAGTTGGAACCACACAGATAGTGGCTGAATGAATGGAAGGAAGGAAGGAAAGAAGAAAGGAAGGAGGGAAGGAAAGAAGTTTAAGGAAGGGTAGAGGAAGGAAAGAAGGAACAGGGTGGGAAAGAAGGAAGGAAGAAAGGAAGGAAGGAATGGAGGCTGGGAAGAAGGAAGGAAGGAGGAAGGAAGAAAGGAAGGAAGGAAGGAAGGAAGGAAGGAAGGAAGGAAGGAAGGAAGGAAGGGAGGAAGGAGAAATGAATGAAGAATTACCAGAAGATGCAAATATAAATCGAAAGGTGCTGTGGTATGACGCCAATAGCAATGGACTGAGTGGCAGGAGACTTGTATTTTCATCTCGGTTCTGCTTACTCATTAGCTATGTGACCAGAGCTAAGTGATCTCTATATATCAAGGAAAGTGGACTAAATTACCTTTAAGATTCCTGCTCCTTTTCACACTCAATTAACACTATAGGATTTAATTTAATCACAGATTTTTTTAAAAAGTTAAGTGTTTTCATTTCATTCTAGCAGTACCAATTCACACAGGCCTTCCATTAATCTTAAGAAAACTGCATATATGAGCATCTTCCAAACATAGATCAGCAGGCAAATTTTCACATTTCAAAAGTCTTCTTTCCTCCATGAGAGGGAAAGGGAAGAGGGGCAAGGATGGTGAAAGAGAGGAAGATGAGAGGGATCATGAGAAGAGTCAGTCGGTTGATAAGAACATATATTAAACCCCTACTGTATTCCAGGCACTGTGCTAAGCAGTAGGGATACACAGAAAGACACAAACATGGTCTCCAGGTGACAGACATAGTGCCATTCTCTGGGCAGTAATTCAATCCCTCCCAGCCTCGTAGGACCTTCTAAGGTTATGTCTAGCTGGTATTGCCTTCCAGAGCCCAGGGTCACTCCCATGTCATAAAGGGATATCAGAGGAGGACTTTTGTAGCGGGTTGGTGACGCACATTGTACTAGCTGATTCTTAAAACAGTCTAGTGAGGGAGGTTTTGTAGGTACTATCGCCACTTTATAAATTAAAAAAAAAAGGTCAGAGAAATTCAATAACTGGCCAAAGGACCAGAGATAGTAAGAGACAGAGCTGGGACTCAAACACGGATCTGTTTGACTTCAAGCCTTTTTTTTTTTCACTTTGGCAATTGTCACTTCATTCTTTAGCCAAAAAAAGAGGGCACTCTGCCTTCTCTCATGTGCTCACAACACAGGAATAGTAAACAAAAGAAGAACACACTCTTATCTTACCCACAACTTCCTTGTAAGATTTCTGTTTTAGGCTTTGTCCATCTGCAAAATCAACAAGAAAGACTTCTGGTTAGGATGGTAACTTGAAAGGTCTTAAAGAAGCCTAGCTTCCCCATCAACACCCCAGCAAAGATCTAAAAGAGCATTAGACGGAATAATGACAAAGGAGAACGGGGAGAAACACCAACGAACTCTCCCATTCAGTCTCGGAATACACACAAACACCGCCAAAAGCCTGCGGGGAAAGGGAGAGGCAATGGGGGTGGGGGTGGGGTGGGGAGCCAGCATGGGGGCTGGGAAACAGGGCCTGAGGCCAGATGCACTGGGGGAGGAAGAGGTCTGGGGATGAGGCATGAAGCTAGGACAATCTCCCACAAACAGGATCTTAAGCCAGCGGTGTCCTGACACCAGCCTCTTGGAACAGTTGTGTTGGTGGGAAGAGTAGTAGATCACTGTACAGGGAGTTGAGGCTAAGCAGAGTATGCTTTGGAGCACTCGGAGGTATAAGCTTGAGACAGGGAAAGTTCAAGGACCAGGCAAAAGCTCCAGGAGACCTTCCAGGAAGCCTGAGATCAATACGATCTCTGACTTCATATCGTAGTTCATTGGGGCCACAGCAAGGGATGAAGCACACTCCAAACGATGGGTTGTACAAGGATAAGCAGACAGAGACAGACCAAAGCAAGCAGCTGCCTTTGATCAAGAGGAGATAAAGGCAGAAGCCTGGGATCGTGGCTGAGGGTGTTGCATTGTCTCAGCCACCAAATCCTGAGCTAGATTGGCACCAGCAGCCAGATTAAGGGGGACAACAGGACCACCACCTCCAATACCTCAGGATGGGGCAGAGCCTGGAGTCTCAATCTAGGACCAGAGGCTGGAAATAGGAGGAAGTAAAGTAAAATTTTGAATGCACTATAGAAATACTATGGATTAAGAGAAGTCTGAGACGTGAACCAAGAAGAAGACTCACTCTGAAAGAAGCTGCTGGCACAGCCTCAGAGAAATGAATGGCTTACCCCCAAAGACTTTAAGAGTGATTAGAAGAAACAAAACAAAAGAAAAAGTGTAATTAGAGTGCTTGAGGAAAAAATTGGAAAGAGAATAAAATGGTTTAGAATAGAAGGTGGGAAAACTTATCCAAGTAGTAGATTCCCTGAAAAATAGAACGGAGCAAACAGAACTCAATGATTTCATGAGACAATAAAAAAATTAGAAGGAAGTCAAAAGGCAGAAAAATTAGAACACACAAGGTATCTACTATTAAAAACAACTGATCTATCAAAAAGTCAGAGAAAGATAATTTAAGAAATCATTGTATTCTCTGAAAACATAACCAAAAGAATAAAAAAAAACCATGATGCTATATTTCAAAAGAGTCACAAAATAAATTGCCAGATCTATTAAAGGGCAACATGGACAGAGTGAATAGAAAGAATTTACCAGTCATGCCCTGAAAGAAAACGAAATAGAAAGAATTCACCAATCACCTTCTGAAAGAAATCCTAAACTGAAAACACCCAGGAACAGGATAGCCCAAATCCAGAGCTTTCAAGTTGGAGAATAAGAAATACTGTAGACAAGCCAGAAAGAAAGTGTTCAAATACCAAGGAACCACAGTCACGATCACATAAGACTACACTGCTACTACTATGGAAGAAAAAAAAAAACCTTGTCATATGATATTCTAAAAGGAGAGAGAAAAAGGCTTACAACCAAGAGTAACATGCTGGAAAACTGAGTACAATTATACAGGGGGAAATGGATGATTAATAGAATAGAGGACTTTCAATTATTTCTTGTAAAAAGATCAGAGCTAGGTACAATATAAACACTGAAATGAAAATATTGGAGACAAGAGAAACACAAACAAGTAAATACATTTGACCAACTGAAATGGGCTAAATGATTATGAAGTACTAAGATTCCATAGGGGGAGAGGAAACAAGTATAAGAATGGATGATTCTGGGTGAAGTGAAGAGAAAGAGAGGAATGAAATAAGGCCACTTCACTTATAGATAACTAATGCTGATAACATTTCATTTGTCATCTTCTTCTTTGTAAAAAGGGAGAAAAGAGAAGAAAAAGTAAATGAAGATATAATTGTGGAAAAAACCTAATTAGTAATCAATGTGCATGGGATGAACTCATTTATCAAAAGGATGTTGAATCAGAAAGTAGAATCCAGCCATAAATTGTTCAAGAAAACACAATTGAAATATAAGATTAAAATGAGCATTTCAACATTCTGTTGAAGTAGAAGAACTTCATCTGAGTTACTTCATCTGAGTTCAAAAACAAACACACAGGAGCAGCAATAATGGTCTCAATTGAGGCAACAGTAAAACTAGACGTGCTTAAAAGAGGGAAACTATACTATGCTTTAAGGCACCACAGATAATGGAATAATATCAATTATATATATATATATATATATATATATCACAAATATATTCTGTATGTGTGTAGATATATATGCTATACACAAATACAAACACATATACGTAGCACAAAGAAAGCTAATCGAATTATAGTGAGAAACAGCGAAACTATAATAGTTTGGGACCTCTATGTACCCCTTTCAGATCTAGACAATTCTAACAAAAAGATAAAAAAGAACTATGCTAAGGATATGAAAGAGTTTTAGAAAAGTTAGATATGATAAAACTGGAGAAGAAGAAGAACGAAGGGAAAGGAATAAATATTTATTAAGCACCTACTAAGTATTAGGCACTGTGACAAGCACTTTAAAAATATTATCTCATTTGATTCTCATAACAACCCTGGGAGTTAGGTGTTATTATTTTGCATTTTACAGTTGAGGAAAATGAGGCAGACAAAGATTAAATGGCTTACCTGGGATCACAAAACTAGTAACTGTTTGAGGCTGGATTTGAACTCAGGTCTTCCTGATTCTAGGTCTACCGCTCTATCTACTGTGCCACTTATTTACCTCTAGGCAAAAGAATACACATTTTTTGGGAAAGAAATATATACATTTTTCAGTAGCACATGGAACTTTGACAAAAATTAACCATGTATTAGGGCAGGTTTGGTAAACTATGATTTGAGGGCCAAATCTGGCAAGATTCCTGAGATTCATGCCTTCCTGTGAGCCTCAATTAGACAAAGCATGTATACATACACATAACCTACATGGGCAACATGCATGTCCTATGCACACAAAGAGAACAAAGGAAAGAGTGAAGAACATTAGTGAAATAACTTAAAAATTCAGAAAAGAGAGCAGAAAGAAGTTTGGAAGAGGTCACAGACAATCAGGGAATGCTAGTACTACAATGTTAAATTCAGTACATACTTTAAGTTCTTAGATTCTCCGTTCCTTATGTAATCCTCTTTCTCTGATTTTCTTTGTATATGGAAACATTCATGTTTGTCAAGCTCATAACAATAAAAAAAATTTCTAAACCAAAATAAAGGAAAAAAACCCAAGAAGATCTCTCAGAAATGAGGACAGTTTTAAACATGCTACTGGGTAGGCATCTTTTCAAATTATAAATTATATTAATAATTTAATTTGATAATACAATAAAATTCAGTGTAATGTATTATGTCACGTTAAAATAATAGATTATATTGAAACACAGGATCCTAGGGTTTAGAGCCAGAAGGAAATTTAGAAATTGTCCAGCTTAACATCAACATTGTCATCATCAATAATTATTCACATTTCTACAGCACTTCACATTTTACCAAGTGCTTTCCCATGAACGATACGAATTCTTGCCTCCAGTTTATAGATGGGGAGACTGAGGTTTATAGAGTGAAGTGGTTTGCCTATGGTCTCACAGCTAGTGATTATCTCCCTAAGTCTAGTACCTTTTCAACCTAACCAGTGACTTGCCCAATGCCCATGGATTAAATAACAAATCCAGAATTTGAAGCCAGCTCACTTTCCTTGCCACCGTCACGCTAACTTTCATATGAATCCAGTTGTCATAGAAACAGGAAATACAAATGTAAGCAGATTAAAAGTGGAGACTATGTCAATGAGCCTCTTATGGATCACTTCAGGTGTAAAATTATACTAGCACTAATTAAAGTTTAAATTTTGTCACTGGAGTTCCTGTTTGTTTTGCTCTGTTACGTGAATTCATAAGTCAACAAGTTTTCAAAAGAGTATGACTCATTTTTACTATTGATTTCATGCAGTGTACTTCAAAGGACACTACATTTAAAGCTGGAATCTGAAGTGATACTCCCTGTATACAGTATTTAGTTAAGCAATGTTTGTTGTATATAATTGTCATTGCTATGGAGTCAAACTAGATTGATCCAGTCCAGTAGTTCTCAAGCTTTTTGGTCTCAGGATCCCTTTACACACTTAAAAATTACTGACATCCTAAAGAGTTTTTATTTAAAAATTTGTTTTTATTTATTTATAAAAATATATTTTATATAATTGTTTTTATTTATTTGTAAAATATATATTATTTTATGTTTGTTTTTATTTATAAAACATTTCATTTGTTATATGTAATTACATATTATATATCAGTATATATAATCTATAATTTATATTGTGCTTTATATTATATACAATTGTTAAAATAAAATATAAACAAATATTATAAAGGTGATCTATTTATTGTTGTTGTTGTGCAGTCATTTCAGTCATGTCCAACTCTTGGTGATCCCATTTGGGGTTTTCTTGGCAAAGATACTAGAGTGGTTTGCCATTTCCTTCTCTAGCTCATTTTGGAAACAAGGATTTAGAACTAACAAATGAAAGTAGAAGCTTGTAAACTGGGCTAGATTCTCAAATGTACATATTGCAGAATCTCTGAGCTGAGAGGAACCATGGAGCCAACAAGTCTGACCTGGACCTGAATAAGAATCCTCTAAGACACACTGGGCAATATCACAAATATTTCCTTTAAGAGAGAGCCAGAGTGCACTGGACACGGCAAGCAATGAACACCATGAGAAAATGTTATTATAGCCAGTATAATTTCTTATATCTCATTGGACAAGAAATGAATGGTGGCTGATAAGAGAGACATTTCTAAATTAATTATTGTTAATCTACAGCTAGAAGGGCCATCAAGCAACGCCCTCAGACCATCAGCAAACACACCAGAAAAAGCCCCAAGGATCCAGCATTCTGAACTTCAGAGATCTAAGAGGGCCCAACCCCAGGAGGATTAAGAGGGGTCGGTGCAAGAAGCAGCATGAGACCGAGCAGGGCCAACCATCTGATCCCTACACAAGACCCCAATTCAGGAACTAAAGCTGAAGGGATGAGTAAATCAAAGACAACATTAGGCGGTATTTAAAAAATTACTATAAATTAGAGGTTCTCCAACATGAGAGGAGTCATCAACAAAAGGAAATGGACACAAAGAGGGGGAAATGGATTTTCTACAAGGATTACACAAGTAACTACATGAACGGAAGCAATGAATAAAAAATAAAATAAAAGTTCTGGAGGAAAGAAATGGAAGGAGAATCCATAGTTTAGAAGAGGAAATGATAAGTGGGAACCAAGAAATGGACTCCCTGAAAATTAGAGTAGACCAAAAAGAAATCATTGACTCCATGATAAAGCCACCCCTCAAAAATAGATCAAAATTTAAAAATAGAAAAAAAAAATAAGATCTGATATAAAAAATAATTGACCTGAAAAGCTAGTCAAGGAGAGAGAATTTAAGAATTAGTGGACTTCCTGGAAACCATTTTTTTTATAAGTCTGGATACTATATATCAAGAAAATAAAAAATGGGGGCAGCTAGGTGGCGCAGTTAGAGCACCAGCCCTGAAGTCAGGAGGACCTGAGTTCAAATTTGACGTCAGACCAAACACTTGACACTTACTAGCTGTGTGACCCTGGGCAAGTCACTTAACCCTAATTGCCGCAAAAAATAAAATAAAAAATGAAAATTGCTCAGATCCATTGGAACTGAAGTACAAAGTGAAGCTAAAGACCCCTGATCACTTCTGGTTAGGAACCAAGAACCAGGAACCAGGACAGGTTTCAGGAAAAAGTCTCAGGAATATCATAGCCAAAATCCAGAGGTCTCACATTAAAAAAAAAAATGCTGCATGTATCCTGAAATAAGCAATTCAAGTACCAAGGAACCACAGTTAGAATTACTCAAGACCTGGCAACTTCTACAAAACAGAGAAGATCTTGTAATTCAGTCTTCCAAAAAGCAAAAGACAGACTTACAGCCAAGATTAATTTGCCCTGTAAAACTGAGTCTAATCCTATTGGGGGGGGGGGGAAGTAAGGGAAAATGGACTTTTAATGGAACAGAGGACTTTCAAACATTTATGACTAAAAGACCAGAGCTGAAGAGGAACTTTGAAATACAAGTATGAGTGCAGAGAAACCTAGAAAGGTATTTTGTTTTTTAATTTGAGCAACAGGAATGGGGTTGTATGATAATGTATTTTTTAAAATGTTTTTATTTATTTTTTTAGACAATTGGGGTTAAGTGATTTTCCCAGGGTCACATAGCTGGTAAGTGTCAAAGTCTGGTGTGAGACCAGATTTGAGCTCAGGTCTTCCTGACTTCAGGGCCGGTGCTCTACCAACTGAGCCACCTAGTAGCCTGGATAATGTAGTCTTTAAAGGGCATTGAGTGAGTTAAACAAGAAAAACAAAAGTCCTGATTCTGGTCTGAAGGTTTGGAGAGGGAAAAGAGGATGGGGCAGGGGCAAGGGGAAGGAATGCATTAGTATGAAAAGAAGGAAGATGGGAGTGGACTTTGTAATTTGCCATAATTGGGGCATATGAGAAGAAAAATATAGAAACATAGAGGAAGGAGTGGGAAAGTGACCATCAGATGAAATGGACAAAAGAGAGTTGAACGTACACATACACATTCACACAAACAGTTTAATGTAGAAATATATCAGTCTCAACAGAAAACAGGCAGGGGTGGGGAAAGGGTCAAGGGGGAGAATAATACCAAGGAGGGAGCAGTCACAAACAAAACAAACTTCCTGATCCTAAGGGAGGGATTGTAAGGGGAAAGAAAAAGAAAAGATGAAGAATCTAAGGGGGCATCTTAGCTTATCTCTTAGACAACTGGGGAGTGGCTGGACAAATTGTAGCCAATTAATGTAACTGAATATTATTGCGCCATAAGAAATGATGAAAGAGGTGGTTTCAGAGAGTCCTGGGTAGTATGAACTGGTATAGGGAAGTGGTCAGAACCAGGAGAATTGTTTATACAGTGACAGCAACATTCTAAAGAAAAAACAACTTTGAAAGACTTAAGAACTCTGATCAATGCAATGACCAGCCATGGCTGCTGAGGACCAGTGATGAAGCATGCTGTCCATCCCCTGACAGAGGGGTGATGGACAAAAGGTACATAAAGAGTTCTATATTTTTGGACATGGCTACTATGTGGCCTGATTATGTTTGTCTGTTACAAGTGTGTTTCTTTTTTCCTTTTCTTTCTGTTGGTTTTTAGCTGGAGAGAAGGAAGTTGAGACAGAAAGGGGTTAGCGATAGTGATTTTAAAAAAAGGAGGGTCATGGAAACATCTTTTTAAATGCACAGAAAAGAATAGAAGGAAATTAAGAAGGATGTACAGACAAGCAAGACAGTTTTGAAAGTTAAGTGTAAAATTTATTATATGTTTTTTAAAAAAGCATCTAACACCCAGCTAGAGTACACAGTAAGCACTCAGTTAATGCTTGTTTACTGGTTGATTGTTCCATAGAACCAAGGAAACCTAAGCAAGACTTAAGTTTTTAAAGATCAGAATATCTGAATATGATTTCAATGGACTTTCATACAATTTTTAAAGATTCCTGATTTCTGAGGTATCACACATGACCTTTCAATGGAGCTATGATGGCACAGGGGGAGAGAGTGTGTGACTTGGAATCAGGAAGTCCAGGATTTAAATCCTTCCTTAGACACATACTAGCTGTGTGACCCTGAAAACATCATTAAATTGCTCTCAGACTTAGTTTCCTCATCTGTAAAATAGGGATAACAATAACATTCAGTGTTGTTGTGAGGATCAAATGTAAAACACTTTTGAACCCTTAAGGAGCTATTATTAATTATTATTAATATTGTTAATGATTATTAATAATTAATCAAATTAATTGTTAATAATAAGAAGGTTGAATGACTTGTATTAGGAAATGCAAGTAATAGAAAAGTATCATTCATCTGGAAAGGCTCCCATATTACTTGATTCTGGTCCTGCCCTCAGAGAGCTTACAGTCTGAGAGATGGCTGATGGGATAGGGCCTGGATAAATACGTCAAGCAGTTAGAGAACAGGTACTTGATCTTTCACTAAAGTCTAGAGGAGTTCAGGAATGTGGGGCAGAATAGAAGGGTTAGGGAACTCTTCACAGGGAAGGTAGAACCCTAAATCCTTTGATCCTGTGAGTTCAGTAGAGCTGTGAAGGATGGAAAGAATTTACAAGAAGCAAAGGTAGGGACCAGCTAGGTGGTGTAGTTCATAGAGCACCAGCCCTGGAGTCAGGAAGACCTGAGTTCAAATTTGGACTCAGACACTTACTAGCTGTGTGACTCTGGACAAGTCACTTAACCTCAATTACCTCCAAAGGAAAGAAAGAGAGGAAGGAAGGAAAGAAGGAAGGAAGGAAAGAAGAAAGGAAGGAAGAAAATAAGGGAGGAGGGAGGGAGGGAGGGAGGGAGGGAAGGAGGGTTTGGGCTAATGAATAGTGGAATTAGAAAAAGGTGAGAGTGGAATATATCAGTGTTTTCTGACCTGCCTTAGGAACTAGTAATTGTCAAATAAAAGATCTTTGGAATTATTGTGAGGAAATTAAACAGGCCAGGTGGAATGTCCTCTCCATCCCCCATCACTCGTTCTTCTTTCTCACCCAACTCCGTGCCTCTCCCAAGCCATCCTCATACCTGGAATAGCCTCCTTCCTCCATCCCTCTGTCCTCCTGTGTCCCAGTCCCTTCTTTTCTTAAAGGCCCAGCATCAGCTTTCCCATCCACGAAGCCTGCCCCAGCCCTCCCAGGGTCGTCTGGATCTTTCTTTTGCGCTATAACATTCTACTTCAAAGGCTGGCTATCTGAGTGTAGCCTGCACCTGCCTCCTCCCCCGTCAGACCGGAGGCTCCTTTAGGGCAGGAGCGCGGCCAGCTCTGCCTCCTCTGTGCTGAGCTCGATGCCCCTTCTATGGCAGACGCCACCGTGGAGGAACTGACCGGAAGCCTTCCGCTGCTTGATGCACTGCCCCCTGTTGGGGATGCCCTCCGCAGAGCTGCCGGGGCTTATGATGTGACATTCGTAGCCCGTGGGGCAGTGGAGAGGTTCCGCCCCGTCCTCTGTGGTGCTGCAGGCCTCTGCTGGAAGAGACACAGAGAGAAGCCCCGGTTTATTGTCCAGGGCAAGACTCGGGTGAGGTCAACTGTCTCGCTCCTCTCCGCAGAGGCTGGCTTCACGCCACTCAGCCGGTCATTCAGCCGTCCCCACGGACGGGACACAAAATCGGAAGGGCACTCAGGGTCATCCAGACCAGAGGCTCTTAATCATTTCTTGTGTCCTGGACCCCATGGTGAAGCCTGCAGACCCCATCTCGAAATCATGGTGTTTAAATGTGTAAAATAAAATACAAGGGATTACCAGGAAAGCCAATTCTGCTGAAATACAGTTCTCAAAATATGTTTTTAAAACTCACCCAAGTTCACTGACCTCAAGCTAAGGACCCATGATTTGTAGTCCAACCCATGCCTAAGCAAGAATTCCCACTGCAACATTCCCAGTAAGGGAACACCTTCAATACCTCCAGTGATGGGGAACTCATTATCTACCAAGGTTAACAATGTTTCACTTTTAGACAGCACTAAATGTTAGGAAGTTTTTCTTTACAAAGAAGGTTAATGCCTCCTTTCAATTTCAACCCAGTGTTCTTGGGTCAGCTTAGAATAAGTCTATTCCTTTTTTCCCATAAGAGGATAGGGATTGGATCTATGATTTAATTAATGTCTGTAGGGAACACCCAACTCCCTTTGACCATGCAGACTGGCACCTTCTCTGCAATTTATAGACTCTGTTGTCTGGGGATGCCAAGGGGTTGAGTGACTTGCCCAGGGTCACACAGTCTCTGCCAGAAGCAGCATTTGAACCCAGATCTTTCTGACTCTGAAGCCAACGCTCTATCCACTATGCTATCTTTTCAAATACTTGAAGACATTTCTCATCTGCCTCCTGGCTTCCTTCAAGTCTTAGCTGAAATTCTGCCATCGGCAAGAAGACATTCCCTATTGGGCTAGTGTCTTCCCTCTAATTGTCTTTAATTATCTTATCTATGTCTTGTTTGTACACAGTTGTTTTCTTATTATCTCCCCTGTTAGATTGTGAGCTTCTCCAGGAAAGGGGCTGTTTTTTGTCTTTCTTTGTATCCCTACTGCTTAGCACAGTGCCTGGTACATAATTGGCGCTTAATAAATGCTTGCTGACTAACTGAACTGCTGAGGCCTGAAATCCCACCATTAGAGCCTCAGTCCTCTGGTGTAAGATTTTGATCCCTAGTACAATGCGGGTCTCTCCGGCTCTCTTTCCCCAAGAATTTTCCCCCTTCGAGCCATTATCATCCATTTACGCCTTTAAGGCAATGAATTCATCATCTACTTTGCAGAGAATGGCTTCTGAGGAGGCCCTGGAATCCGAACTCAGTGGAGGAGAGAGCGAGGCTGATGACTTCGCCCAGCTGCCAGTGCATGTGCAGGTCAGGACATCACCTCCTGCTGGGTCCTCTTCAAGAATGGAGGATGAGTAACACCCAAAATAGCTAATAACGGCTACCATTTATACAGCAATTACTACGAGCCAGGCACTGTGCTGAGCTCTTTACAGTTATTATCTCATTCGGTCCTCACAACAACCCTGGGAGGTGGGTGTGATTATTATCCTTATTTTACAGGTGAGGAAACTGAGGCAAACAGAAGCTTGTCGTAAGTCAAATTTGAATTTGGGTCTTCTTGACTCCAGGTTCTATCAGAGGATACTAACCCCCTATTGATGGAGGAGAAAGGGGGAATATGAGAGAGAATTGTCAAAATCATAGAATGCCAAGGACCTGTCAGAGAAGGAAAAGGACCTGAAAACATAGTCAGGGTTGGAAGCAATCTTAGAGATGGTGCAATGCACCCATTGTGCAGATGATGAAACTGAGGGAAATGAAGACAGACTTCTTCCTCTGAATACTCATCATCTACGAAGAAAAATCCCAAGTTAAAACAGACACCAGAGAGAAATGTCTGTCACCTTAAGAGCAAGGGGTGTGTGTGTGTGTGTGTGTGTGTGTGTGTGTGTTGTTTGTGTGTGTGCTATATCTACTGTGCTTAACAGATCTTGATGTAAGTGTACCAGAAGTGCACACGAGGGGGCGTCAGATTCCTATCCTCCCTTCCCTGGCCCTCTTCTTTCCCTCACTCTCTCTGCTGTGTCTGGGTGAAGGCAGCCTCATAGGGACCAGCCTCTTGAACAATTTCTTTCTCCCCACTGGCTGCCTCCCTCTCTCAGCCCAGTTACCAGCCACCAGGATGGGTAAGAGGAAGGACAAGCAGCCCACCTCACCCACCTCACTAGGGATGGCTTTGACTGCAGAAAGTATTCCAAGGCAAATTCCAGCAACTGTCAATTTCTAACATTCGGGTCAAGTAAATCAGAAAAACCAGCGTCCAGCGTAGGCTTAGGAAACTAGGACTAGAGCCGGAACTAGGAATTTTGACACCAAATTTCAATTCAGTTTAGCAGAGTTGGAGGGGCACACAGAACAGTTTGACCATGGGTCCAATTGTGCTGGAACGGGAGCATCCCATTCCCCAAAGGCAGACAGGTGGTGCAGTGGGTCTAGAGGCAGGAAGATCTAAGTTCAGACCTGGCCTGTGTGACCCTGGACAAGTCATCTAACCTCTGTTTGCCTCAGCTTCATCAAATGCAAAATGGGGATAATAATAGCACTTATTAAGACCTACTAGCAGCTAGGTGGTGCAGTGGATAGAGTGCTGGGCCTGAAGTCTGGAAGATTCATCTTCCTATGTTCAAATCTGGCCTCAGACACTTCCTAGCTCTGTGACCCTGGACAGGTTTGCCTCAGTTCCTTCATCTGGAAAATGAGCCGGAGAAGGAAATAGCAAACCACTCCAGTGTCTTTGCCAAGAAACCTCCAAATGGCGTCATGAAGAGTTGAACACAGCTGTAAAACAACTCAAAAACATCAATACTAACTAGGACCTTAGGAAAAACACCAAGTAGAGGGGTGAGGGAATTGCTCCAGGTGAGTAAATAAAGCCACTGAATCCTATGCCAGTTGTCTGGCATTTCAACCTTTACCCTGAGAGGGTATTGCTCATTTATAACAAGTAAGTGCCATGGGCTAGATGAAAGTATTATCTCCTAAAACTACATTTCTTGATACCAAAGCCTTAAGTGCATCAACGAATTGTAGAGCTCATTTAGTCATCATCACCCCCTGTTACAACCACCCGGGGTGATCTAGCAATATCCCTATCAGGTGGCTCTCCAGTCCCTGCTTGAATACATGCAGCAACAGGGAACTCACTGACTAATGCGGCAGCCCCGTTCCATGTTCCTAGGCCCAGCACGATGCAGTTGAAAGTTCTCTGGACCTGTGTTCAAATCCCAGCTCCACCAATTATTAGTTGGGCAAATTTGGGCTAATCATTTCAAGTCCAAACCTCAGTTTCCTCATGCAAAAAATGAAGAGGGTTAGATCAGAGGATGTCTGAGGTCCTTTCCCATTTCAAATCTAATGTCAGAACATCCACTACGCTGTAAGACAGCTCCATTTAAGGGAGGTGCCCATGCCGGCTGTGCCTTCATTTCCCACCATGCTGTAGTCATTTGGACTTCTCCATCATATCACACACCAGGTCCCAGCCCATCCCCCACCTCAGATTCCTTTTGTGTATCTTCTTCAACATTAGAATGTAAGCTCCTTGAGGGCAGGGACTGTCTTTCTTTGTGCTTGTATTAGTATTCCTAATGTTTAGCCCAGGGTCTGCCCCATTTAGTCCTTGTTTAGTCACTTTTTCAGCCATGTCCAACTCTTAATGCCGCCATTTTGGGTTTTCTCGGCAGAGATACTGGAGTGGTTTGCCATTTCCTTCTCCATTTCATTTTTTACAGATGAGGAAACTGAGGCAGACAAGGTTAAGTGACTTGCCCAGGGTCACACAGCTAATAAGTGTCTGAGACTGGATTTGAACTCAGAAAGATGAGTCTTTCTGACTCCAAGCCCAGCATTCTATCCACTATACCACCTAGCACTTAATAAATGTTTGTTGACTGACTGATTGACATGTATTCAGTTGAAATCTGCCTCTCCACAGCTCCATCCATTGTGACTATTTCTGCCCTCTGGAATCAAGCAGAATAAACTTTTTTCGACTTGAAGACAGCTGTCATATTCCCTCCTCCAAATGGTCCCTTCCCCAGGCTAAGCATCCCTTCGATGCATCCTCACAAAGCATGATTTGAAGATTCCTTACTGGTTCGGTGTAAGTAGCACCCAAGTATATCTGCAAGCCCCCACCAGAGAACAGTTTTCTTTTTGTTTACTGAGGTAACTAGATGACTCAGTGGTAGAGTGCTGGGCCTGCAGTCAGGAAGACCTGAGTTCAAATTCAGCCTCAGACACTTACAAGCCCTGTGATCCTAGACAAGTCATTTAACCCCTGCCTACCTCAGTTTCCCCATCGGTAAATTAGGATAATGAAAGCACCCACTTCCCAGGGTTGTTGTGAGGATCAAACTCAATAATATTCACAAAGTGCTTAACACATAGTAGGTGCTTCATAAATGTATCTTCCTCCCTCCCTTCTTTCCTTCCTTCCTTGCTGGAGATGACTTTACAATGGCTTCCCAAGGGTTACCAGGTCCATTCTGAAGTTTTCACTCAGCAGGTCCAGAATCTCTACATCTGATCAATGACATGTAAGCTAAAGACAGAACTGGTCGGTTACACCACGGAAGACCACCATGGTACCTTGTAAAACCTCTTCCGGTCCATCAAGCAGCCAGCCGTTGCCTCCTAGCCAGCGGGGTTTGGGCTGCACCAGCCAGTCTAGAACTAATAAAACACACGGTCACATGTTAGGCACTTGTCATGTCATGGCAATTCCAATAAAGAATGCTTCTTTGCTGGCTGCGCCCTACGGTCATTTCCAGGAGCACTCCTCATAACCCCTAAGTCTACTCACAAGAGGTAGAAAAACTTGGAAAGCGGGAAGGACCTTCGGCTGGAAGGCAAACAGGGCCTTTGGGGCATAGGGGCTGGGCCCAGGCGAAGGGACTCAAGGGCCCGTGGGAAGGCACACTCCCACCAAAGAGCACGTTTGCCCACTGAGACCTAGAATGCAGGGCTGGGGATTCGAATGAACGCCTTGGACAAGTCACAGGTCAGCCATATACATGGCAACGTATATGTACGTGTATATGTAAATACGATACTTCTAGTGATATTCTGCGTGTATATACATATAAGCATGCACATATATGTACACACAAGCATATATGCATGTGCACGCAGTACAGCATGTACATGTATGCATTTTATATGTAGTACATGTCACATGTCGTGCACATGTACACATATGCCTGTATCACAGTGCATGTGTGTGATGCACATGTGCTGTTTATATATGCATGTGTGTATGTGTATATGTGTGTATACATACACACACTCATTTGGTTCTCACAGCAAACCTGTGAGGTAGGTGTTATTTTCTCTATTTTACAGACAAGAAAAGTGAAGCTAAGAGAGAAGTTCTGTCTTACCCAGAGACCTATATAATCAGCTTTTAAAGCAGGATTTGAATTCAGGTCTTAACTCACTCAAAGTCCAACTCTCTATTCACTGCACCACCTACTTCCCAAGGCACTGAACATCCCAGAAAGGAGTGTAGGGGATAGAACTTTGCCCAGTTCCTAATTTTGCCAATGTCTGATCCTCCTCGAGTCCTTTCTGATACAAATTAGTGCCCGTGGCACCTCTAGCCTACTGCCTCATATCTTAGGTCATGAGAGCTAGAAAAAACTTCAGAGATTAAGTAAGGTGTCCCAAAAGTCTTAGTGCAGTAATGCTAGGGACACCCTAAATATCCCAGGTCTTATTTGGCAGAGGAGCACAGTAAGACCTAGAGGAGGAAAGAATTTGCCTGTTCAAAGGGATCAGGAGGGAAAGAGAAAACTAGATGGTCTCTAAGGGCCTTTCCAGCTTTAAAATTCTACGGCTCTCCTTTGGGTTAAGCATTGCCCTTTCTCACTCCTCTTTTAAAAGGTACATAGATCTGAGGTCTAACGAGGAAGTCACTAACACTTTAGTAAGAATTTACCCAATACGGTGCTCTCCCCATAGTAAATGTTTCTTCCAGTGCTCTTCCTCCTAAAGATTTTCTCCCAGACCTTATGGCACAAAGTCTATCTGTCTCAGGTAGAAACATTCTTAGTTTTTGAGTGCAAGGAAGTGACCTATGAAGCAAAAATGTCAATGGGGGTGATGCCAGTGTGCAGAGCTGATTCTACCACCACTTCCAGGAAGACTTCCATGGTCAAACACTTATTGAGCAATCCATTCCAACAAGCTTCGTTTACTCGGGACTTACACATGAGTGTTGGTAGTATCCTAATGTATATCCCCCAGTCATCCTATGAACCGTATCCATGTTTATCCAGTCCCTGAGGCATGAAGTGTCTTGTTCGAGGAACAGCCACTTGGCCAGCATACCTAAAAGGGAGGGAGCTTGCAGGAGAGGAAGGCATAAGAAGAAAGACAAGGCTGGAAGTAGCCAAGCCGAGGGACTTTAAATGCTGACCCAAAGACTTTATATTTGATTCTGGAGGTGATAGGGAGGCGTTGGAGTTGATTGAGGAGGAAGGTATGACTTTATCAGACCGCTTAGAAACATTACTTTGGAAACAGAGAGGAGGATTGATTGGTGTTGGGGAGAGATGAGGTTGGGAGGCCAGTTAGAAAGCCACTGCAACCAGCCAGGTGAGAGGAGATGGGGGACTGCCCTAAGGTTGTGGTTGTGTGAGTGTAGAGAAGATGTCATAGATAAGAGATGTCATGAAGGGAGAAACAACAAGGTTGGACAACAGACTGGATATGTGGAGTGAGTGCAAGTGAGGAGCCAAGGGGAACAGCAACACTGAGAGCCTGGATGAATGTGGGAGAGCGGTACCCCAGGCTCGGATGTCATGAGCTTCAAATGAGATAATGGAAATAAAGCACTCTGCCAACTTTAAAGTGCTATGTCAATGCTAATTATCAATCATCATTGTCATCATTGTTGTTGGCAATAACCACGGAAGTCTTCCTAGAAGCACGGCCATGCCTCGAGGTGGAACTTGAGGTAACTGAAAATCCACCCTGGTCCCCAAGCCTCCACTCTGGTGAGGATACCTTCCCCAAGCCTTCCACTACACTACCCCTGAACCCAGGGTAATGTTCATAGAGCAACACAAGGATGTGCTGGACAATGACGAACGACTAGGCTTCTGGGAGAAAAAAGTATAAAATGCATGCACATACACCTTTAAGTTTAATACGCATGGCTAACACTTTCTCAAGTCTAGCTGATCACAAAACAATAACCCAAGCCTTGATTTATCATGAGTGCTGATTTGTGAGGCATAAAAGCTCTTGCTGAAAATTTCACAATTGGCTCTTACAAGCTGTTTAGAGCTGGCTCCAGTGGACCCCTGCCCTTGACAACAATTGGAAAGTTGGGAAGAAGGAAACGGGGAAAAATAAACATTCTCTTTAGGACATATTGAGTTTGAGATGCCTGGGGACATCTAGTTCAAGATGTCCAAGAGGTAACAGGTGGTGTGGACTGGAGGTCAGGACAGAGAGGTGAGGGTTGGCTGTATAGACCTAGGAGTCATCCTTGTAGAGATGATACAAACCAGTGGGAGCTGATATGATCACCAAGAGAGATAATATAGAAGAAGAAAAGAGGATTCAGGATAGTTCCATGAGGAATAGGCACAGCCAGTGTAAATTATGTCCCTTTTACAGATAAGGAAACTGAGTCTCAGGGGGAGGGTGAAAAGACTAGCCCATGATCACACAGTTAGCAAGAAGGAGGGCTGTGACTAGAATCTAGGTCTTCTAACTTAAAGTGTTTTTGTTTCTTTGTTTTGCCTCTCTATACCATACACTAGGCAGAAAAGAATAAAGGCAATGAATGGAGAAGAATTCTATGTAGGGGATACTTGTGATGTACAGAAATAAATTTGACATCTCTTTGAGCATGAACAATAAAAATAGCTCGTATTTACATACTTCTTTAGGTTTTGCAGAGGACTTTGCACATATCTCATTTGACCCTCAAAACAACCCTGTGAGATAAGGGACTATTATAGCCTCCTTTTAACAGATGAGGAAACTGAGGCAAAACAGGGTTAAGTGACTTGCCCAGAGTCACACAGTGAGGATGTGTCTGCTACTCTGTAGACATCATAAGAATTTCTCAATAGATTTTAACAAAATTACTTAGAGAATTAGTGTATCCTAGTAGGCAGGGGACTGGACAAAAAATTGGCAATGGGAGAAGGAAATAAGGGAATCACGTCCAAACAGCCTGCCATCTTATGAAGCCGAGAACACCTGCTTGCTGCAGTCTTGGCTTACAGGCTTTGCTGCTCATGTGGGAAAATGATGTAGTGAAAAGGAGGCTGGATGGGAATCAGGAGAGCCAGGTTCTAGCATCTGGCTCTGCCATTTCTTAGCTGTGTGGACAGTTCAATTTTTTTTTTAAGACCCAAACTTCCTCCATTGTACAAAGAGAAGGTCAAATTGGATGATCTTTAAGGACCTTCCAATTCTTTAAAACATAATATAAACTAATATTCTAGGAAAAAACAGACACAAAAACAAAGGCATAAAAGGAAAATGCCCACCTTACATGGCCATGGGGGGCCCAAGGCACTCATTTGCAGCAGTGGGAAGCTCTAGTCCTACCTTGGCCCTTTGTAGGTCTAGACAGAGCTTCACTCAACATTAATTCATTCTAGAATAAGCCAGTAATGATGACAGTGATGATGATGATGGTGAAGATGATGAAGAAGATGATGATGATAGTTAGAGAGGCAGTATGGTGCAGTGGATAAGGAGGCAGCCCAGAAGCCAGCCATACTGGCTGCATGACCCTAGCCAATTCACTCAACCTCTCAGTACTCTCGGCAAACTTCTAAGATGACAGGCTGCAGAGAAGATGCCACCCTGAATAGGCTGAGGTAGCTTCTTTACCTGGAAGTTTCCTTTACCAATAAAATCACAAGTTCAATCCCTATTGCCTAATAAAAGATGACATTTATATAGCTCTCACTATACTTCACCTTGTCTCAACCACCTAGGAGGTAGGTTGTTATTATATCCATTTTATGCATGAGGAAACTGAGGCTTTTAGAGACCGTGACTGGCCCACAGCTGGTAAAGATCAGAGGCAAGATTTAAGCCCTTGCCTCCAAGTCCAATAATCATTCTACTATGAGGCAGTTAGGTGGCAGCAGTATATAGAGTTCTGGGCCTGGAGTCAAGAAGACCTGAGTTAAAATCCAGCCTCAGACACTTACTAGCTGTCTGATCTTAGGCAAATTGCTAAACTTCTGTTTGCCTCAATTTCCTAAATTGTAATGGGGATGGTAGCAACACCTACCTCCCAGGGTTGTTGTGAGATCAAATGAGATAATATTTGGCACACAGTAGGCACTTAATAAATGCTTATTTCCTTCCTTCCTTCCTTTTTTCCTTCCTTCCTTCCTTCCTTCCTTTCTTCCTTCCTTCTTTCCTTCCTTTTTTCCTTCCTTCCTTTCCTTCCTTTCCTTCCTTCTTTCCTCCTTCCTTCCTTTCTTCCTCTTTCTCTCTTTCCTTCCTTCCTCCTTCCTTCTTTCCTTCTTTCTTCCTATACCACATTACCTAGGGTAAGCTCTCCCCCTCTGCCTGATAGGGCTATCTAGCACTTGTGGGGCCTACAAAGGAAGTTCCTTGTCACTGACAGGTTAGAAGAATCAAGGTCAGGTTGCAAAGGCAACGCAGAGATGCTGAAAGCAAAATTGAAAGCTTAATGATATCATGTTAGACCTTGAGGGCCCTTAGAGATCACCTAGCTCAAATCTTTTTCTCCATGACGGACCCTGTCTTTTGGCAGTCTGGGGAAAGTCTTTGGCCACTTCTTAGAATAATGTTTTAAGACGTACATTTAAATGGAAGAAATACTAAATTTCAGTTAAAGGTTAATTAAAATAAAGATATAATTTTTTCACACACAACTTACCAGATCCCCTGAAATCTACCCACATATCTCTTGGGGGAGGTCTGTAAACCCCAGGTCAAGAACTTTTGATCCAGTCTAACCCTTTCATTTAGATGGTAAAACTGAGGCCCATATTGTCATAGGGCTAGTGAGTGGCAAAGTTCTGGTCTAAACTCCCAATTCCATTCTTACCTCTATCAAGTTGCTATCCACTCTATCCCTCCATCTCCCTGCCATTTTTCTTCTTCCTCTCTATCTTTCTGCAGATAATACTTTATGCTTCCTGGAAAGAGGCCACCTATGGTTGATCTTATGAGCTCAGGAGTTCTGAGCTGCATCAGGAGAGCCAAGTTCTAGTATCTGGCTCCACCATTTCTTAGCTATGTGACCTGGACAGTTCAATTTTCCTTTTAGGACCCAAGCTTCCTCCACTGTACAAGTAGGAGGTCAAATTGGATGATCTCTAAGGACCCTTCCAATTCTTTAAAAAATAATATAAACTAATATTCTAGGAAAAAACAGAAACTAAATGCTAAAGCTCTTATTAAGCCTAGCACCAATATGGTGAGCTTGCAAGGACACTAAGCTGCCTATAGAGGGGAGAAGGAGACTGGGTTGAAAATAGAGGTCAAAGGTTTTGTGTCAAGCAGTAGTGGGATTGGCGTAGGTGAGACAGGGAGAAGGAAGGAGACAGAAAGAAAGAAGAAAAGAAGGAAAGAAAGGAAGGAAGAAAGAAAGAAAGAAAGAGAGAGAGAGAGAGGGAGAGAGAGAGAAGAGAGAGAGAGAGAGAGAGGAGAGAAAGAAAGAAAGAAAGAAAGAAAGAAAGAAAGAAAGAAAGAAAGAAAGAGAAAAAGAAAGAGAGAGAGAGAGGGAGGGAGGAAGGAAGGAAGGAAGGAAGGAAGGAAGGAAGGAAGGAAGGAAGGAAGGAGGGAGGGAGGAAGGAAGGAAGGAAGGAAGGGAGGAAGGAAGGAAGGAGGGAAGGAAAAAAGAAAGAAAAAGAAAAGAAGAGAAAGGGGATGGAGGAAAGAAGGAAGAGAGGGAAGAAAGAGGAAGGAAAGGAGGGAAGGAGCAAAGGAAGAAACAAAGGGAGGAAGAGGGGTTGCTCACCTCAAGAGGAATGAAGTGGGCATGGGAAGGCACAAAGTCAGGAATATGAACTAAATCGGTCCTGTGTCCTTCCCCATGACTTTGAAGTTAGTCTGAACATCAGCTCCTATTTCTAATTCTGTCACCACTTACTATGGAGTCTGGTAATGATTCTCCTAAATGCAACTTCTCAAGGGGAAATAGTTTCTCAATATCCTTTTTAGAGGGGAAAATAAATAGGGCTTATGGAATGCTGTCAGCAGCACCGTGATGAGCATTCCACAAAGGCAGGGTATTATTCACCTTAAAGGGCTCTTAGCAAGTAGGTCAGCCCTGCAGAACTGGGGAGTAAAGAACCTTTGCTTTCCAGTACTTCCACCCCTATCCCCATTCTGTAAAATGGGTATAATACCTCCTGCCTCCCAAGAATGTTGTGAGGATCAAATGAGACACAATATGTAAACTACTTTACAAATCTTAAATAACTATGTCAATGCTAGCCAGCACCTCCTTGCCAAGAGGTCCTCCCTTACCCTCTTTAGGATCCAGCATCAACATATTTACTGTCCATCATGCTCCATTATACTCTCAGGAATGGTCCTGACACGTAACCACACTAAGGCATCTCAATAGCTAACAGCAGTTTAAAGAAGGTGTGACATTCCCACGTCCCCTTTTGTCTGCCCTTACGCTCTCGAAGAATCTCAGAATTCCCAGGCACCACTCAGTGGAGAGAGAGTTTAGAAGGTGAGAGATATTTGGGGGGTGGTGCCTGAGATCACACCCCAGGGAGGGGACTAGAAGCTGACTGCGGGCAAACTGCTTTCATGGTGGACATGAAGAACAGAAAAAATCCAGTTCAACCCACAGAGAGCATTCATTTGGGATCATGGGATTTAGAACTATCTGGGATCTTAATGGTCATCCAGTCCAACCTTTTCATTTTACAGATGGAGAAACTGAGGCCCAGAGAGGAGGAAGTGACTCACCAGAGTCACACAGAGAGTGTCCAAGATTGAAATTCAGATCTCCTGACTCAAAATCCAGTGTTCTTGCCACATCAACATACCACCAACAGAATGTATTAAATTCTTTCTTTTTAACATGTTATACAGTCATTTTTAGTCATATCTGACTTTTCATGACCCCATTTGAGGTTTTCTTGGTAAAGATACTGTCATCGTCTGCCATTGCCTTCTCCGGTTAATTTTACAGATGAAGCAACTGAGGCAAACAGGGTCACACAGCTGGGAAGTATCTGAGGTCAAATTTGAACTCAGGTCTTCCTAACTCCAGGCCCAGCACTCTGTGTACTATGGTGCCACCTAGCTGCCTCCTGTACCTTTCATGGAAAGAAGGAAGGAAGAGAGAAAGAAGAGAAAAAAAGGAAGGAAGGAAGGAAGGAAGGAAGGAAGGAAGGAAGGAAGGAAGGAAGGAAGGAAGGAAGGAAAAAGAAAGGAAGGGAGGAATGAAGGGAGGAAGAAAGAAAGAAAGAAAGAAAGAAAGAAAGAAAGAAGAAGAAAGAAAGAAAGAAAGAAAGAAAGAGAAGAAGAGAGGAAGGAAGGAAGGAAGGAAGGAAGGGAAGAAGGAAGGAAAGAAAGAAGAAAGAAGAAGAAAGAAAGAAAGAAAAGAAAGAAAGAAAAAGAAAGAAAGAAAGAGGAAGGAGAAGGAAGGAAGGAGAAGGAAGGAAGAAAGAAAGAAAGAAAGAGAAAAGAAAGAAAGAAAGAAAGAGGAAGGAAGGAAGAAGGAAGGAAGAAAGAAAGAAAGAAGAAAGAAGAAAGAAAGAAAGAAAGAAAGAAAAAGAAAGAAAGAGGAAGGAAAGAAGGAAGGAAGGAAGGAAGGAAGGAAGGAAGGAAGGTATGTGATGCTGAGTGACACTGCTGGGATCATGGCAGATATAGGACAAGACAGTTTAACGACCTAGGCAAGGTTCACAAAAATGCGATCAAATCCTCACCCCTGGGTTTGAAAAGTTTACCTCCCAAATACAATTTATTTCCCAATTTATTTGAGCTACCATTGCAACATGTGGGATTTGGCTTCATTCACTCATTCATTCATTCATTCATTCATTCATTCATTCACTTATTCATTCATTCATTCACTCATTTATTCATTCACTGCCAGGTGCATCATGGAGGGTGGATTTTTCGGGCATTAAAAATACCACATCTATAAAAAGATATATTAAAGGGTTTCTCTCCTTGCCCCATTCCCCATTCCCACCCCCATTATGGAGCTGAACTGCTCATCAAGGAGCTCCCCTTGACCCTAGCTCTGACCCTTACCTGGTGGAGGCTGCACTGATTCCAGACAGGCATAGGTGCACCCATTGAAGCAGCAACGTTTGTGTCTTTCACACACCGAATCTGAGCGGCAGCTGGTCACTTCACAAGCCCCTTTGGGTAATGTTTGGGGGGGTGGTGGACAGCGCTCATTCCGGGGATGGTGGCCACCATGAGAATGGAGAGGGTATTCATAATCCTTGATTCCCCCCCAAAGAAAGAGAGAGAACAAGTGAGAGAGACATTCATTTTGAGTAAAATGGAATGAAATGTGTATTCAGAAATAGTTTATACCTTTTCATACTATCATTTATGATGGTATGAACCACTCTACCGCAACTATCTCAGTTTAGGCTCTCATTCCTTCCCCTCTTCCCCTAGTTTACGATGATGTTTTCCAAACTGGTCTTCCTGCCTCCAATCTCTCCTTTTTATAATCTATCCTTCATGCCAGTACCACTTCAGAAATCTTCCTAAATCATAAAAGTCTGAATTCCTGATCTTGGCATCCAAGACTTTCTAGAATATGGTTTCAACTTACCTTTCTGGCTTTCTCTCATATGACTTCCTTTCATGTACTTTATATTATAGCCATTCTGGACTTGGAATCCCAGAGATGAATTCAAAGCCTGCCTCAGATACTAGTTATGTGACCCTGGGCAAGTCACTTTTAACCACTCAGCCTCAATTTCCTCATCTGTAAAATGGGGATATTAACAGCACCTATTTCATTAGGATGTTGTGAAGATCAAAAAACATGGAATAATACCTTGCAAACCTTAAGATGTTATATAAGTGCTAGCTCTCATTATTACTGTTTTTAGTCTCTGGTATCCATCCTGCCTTATCTTGTGTTTTTTTTTTGCTCATACTCTCCTGCTTATAATGATTTCTCTGTTTCTGAAGGTCCCTCTTTTTCTTCTCAATACTCAAGGCAGATGTCGCTTTCTTAATAAAGTCCTGAGTCTTCCTAAGATGAATGTGATCACTTCCTCATTACGTAAATAAGCACTTTGCCTGGACTTCTCATTCACACTTAGGTCTATGCTCATGTGCTTATTAACTCATCAGTCTATTTGTATCATAGTACCAATGTTCTTGTGATTTAGAGTTTAAAGAAAGGAGATCATCTTGTGTAATTTCTTCATTGACAGATAGGGAAACCAAAGCCTAGAAAGGCTAGGTGACTTTTCTGTACGAATATATGTCTTTCTCCCTTTTAAAAACATAAACTCCTTGAGGAGAGGATCTGCATCAAATCCCTCTTTGTATCCCTCATGCTAAACACAAGGACCTTGTGGACCAGAGGTATCAACCACAGGGCCATACGCACCCCAATTTCCATTTGAGCCTGACACCACTGTTGTAGACAGTAGTTATTCAATGAAGGTTTGTGCATTGATTAAAAAAAAACAACAACTCAATTTATCTTTGCCATTAGGGAAGATTTGGAAAGGATCAATGGAAACTCCCTCACTGGAGTTTCAATGGAAACTGTCCCTCTTCTGGCTCTAAATCAGGGGTTCTTAACCTTTTTTGTGTCATGGATACTTTTGGTAGTCTGGTGAAGCCGATGGACCCCTTCTAAGAATAAAGCTTTTAATGCTCAAAATAAAATACATAGGATTACAAAGGAAACCACTTTTACCAGTTCACAGACCCTTCAAATCAAGAACCTCTGCTCTTAATCTAGGATCCTATGACAAAAACAGAGCCCCAGGTAAGAAACTTAAATGAAAATAGTGGTAGAGCATATAAGGAATTAGTGATCTGGGTAACCTCAAGCAGGGAAATGTCTTAAATGCTCCAATACGGCCATAGCCCTGGACTGAAACATTGCTTTATTTGTTTACTTATTTAGTTATTCATTCATTCATTTCTTTATTTACTTGTTTCTTTGTTCATTTGTTTATTGAGGCAATCAGGGTTAAGTGACTTGCCCAGGGTCACACAGCTAGGAAATGTCTGAGGCTGAATTTGAACTCAACTCCTCCTGACTCCAAGGCTGGTGCTCTATCTACTGTGCCACCTAGCTGCTCTCTCCTTTATTTTTAAAAAAATTTTTTTCGGAGCAGCTAGGTGGTACAATGGATAGAGCACCAGCCCTGCATTCAGGAGAACCTGAGTTCAAATCCAGCCTCAGACACATAACACTTACTAGCTGTGTGACCCTCGGCAAGGTCACTTAACCCCCATTGCCTAACCCCCCCCCAAAAAAAGAAGTTGTCTTTTTTTCAAACAAATTCATTACAGAGTCATAAGATAGCAGGACTGGTTGAGACCTTTGGAGACCCTCCAGTTTATAGGTTCTACAACTGGAGTCCGTGAATTAAGTTTTTTAAAAATTATATATATTTTGATAACTATATTTTAATAAAATTGGTTTCCTTTGTAATCTCATGCATTTTATTTTATGGCTTTGAAAATATTATTTTGAGACAGGGTCTATTGGCTGCATCAGATTGGGAAGGATGTCCTGGACATACAAAAAAAAAGGATATGAACCCTTGATCTATTCTGATCCTAGGAGAACTCTGAGTCCAGGCAGTTAAGTGCCTTGTTCCTTTCTAAAGTAATGAATTGTGACCTATTTTCTTTCAGTAAAAATCTCTCCCCTCTTCTCTCCTCTGGGGCTTTCACTCTCATCTCCGGTAATGGCCTGAGAAGTCAGCAGATCTAGCTTTGTTCCACTATCTAAAGGACAGGATGAGGTGTCTGTGTCCTCTGACTATCCTCTGACCCTGGAATCCACTCCAAGATGACAGAAGGAGATGCTGTGAATGGGGTCTGGCTTCCTCCCTGGGGAGCCTTTAGGGAGCTAAGACCTGCTCTGACTCCAAGTTTGCTCTCAAACCTTCACTCCTCTCTGAGGAAGCCAGCACAATGCTTGTCTGAGCTCATCTGGTTTAGCAGTTATTAATAGCAAGCAAAATTCTTTCAGAGAATTTCTGAACCCCAGTCACCAAAACCAAGAAAAAGTGCCTGTTCCTATCTTGTCGCAAGAAAGAGAACTCTGAAACTGTTCCCTTCACTTACCTACCTAAGCTTTATTCTAGCTAGTTTTGTTCCTGAGTAGTAGTCATTCAATAAACATTTATTAAGCACCAGGCACTATACTAAACTCTGGGGATACAAAAAGAGGCAAAAGGTAGTCCCTGCCCTCCAGGGGCTCACAATCTAATGAATGGTCCTGGAGGATCTGGTTCCTCTGATGGGGATTGGCACTGCAGTAAAAGCTTTCCACCACAGAAATGTGAGGATATCAGGTAACCCCACCAGCCAAGCGAACAGCTCTTGGCTGGTGTCTATCTCCACATCTGGAAGGGTCTGGTTCCTTTGGTGGCTGTGCCATCTGAAAATACAGACTCTTCCACCTTCTGGCCATTTGTAGCCTATGACTGACTGGCTAAGATACTGGAGGAACTGAGAGAGAAACTTAACAGGGCTGAGGGTTTTTTATCCTGTGAAGTCCAACTTTGAAAAACCGGGGGCAATATGAACACATTTGGGGTCGGAAGGGACCTTTTGTTCAGGCCCCTCATTTAATAGATTAAGAAACTGACGGCTGAAAAGGTCAACTGCTTTATCCAAGAAGCCATAAGTAATAAGGAGGAGAGCGAGAATTTGAGTGTAGGACCTCCAAGCGGCAGCTTTGTTTTGCAGAATAAACCTAGGTTTGAACCCTACCTCTGGAAATGTGTGACCTAGAGAAAGTCACTTCTACTCCTCCCACCCCCATTTTGTAGACAGGGAAACTGAGGTCCAGGATAGCGTAATGGAAAAAGCACTAGACATAAAATCAGAAGACCTAAGTTTGAGTTCTGGCTGTTGTTACTTGTGTAAATTATTTGACCTCTCTGGACCTCAGTTTCCCTATTTTAAAATGAGGGAGTGGGAGTAAATGACCTTTGATGTTCCTTTTAGCTTTAAGCCCATGACCTTTCGGTCTAGATGTGAACCCTCTCATCTCTAGGGTCCCTTTAAGCTCTAAATCTCATAATCCTGCTTCCCATCATCTCAGAACCCCCACCAACATAAACTTGAGAGATCCAGGTAGCAACAGGAAGACCTGAGGGGAAAACACCCAGGAAATTAAGCAAGAAGAAAAAAAATCTTTTTTTCCTGAAACTTATGTTAAACTTTCAAACTAAATAAATTTTAAATTAAATAAAATTTTAACTTTTGTTTCCTGGAGAAACTTAAATATCCCAGGGAAAAGTTCATCTGGTATAATCTAGGATGCTAAGATTTAGGAGTTGAAAGGGACCTGATTCCTTATTTTGTAAATGGAGAAACTGAGATTCCAAGCAGAGCAATGAATTATCCAAGGTTATCTAGGTAGCAAGCAAAAGAATCAGGATTCAAACTCAGGTCGTTTGACTCCAAATTCAATGTTCTTGCACCCCCACCTAGGGGAAAGTTGTGGCACAGCAGAAAGAGCACCAGGATCGGAGTCAGAGGATCTGAATTCAAATTCTGCCTCTGATACTTACTACCTATAGTGACTTTGGGCAAGTCATTTAAACTCCTGGAGCCTCAGTTTCCTTAAACTTAAAATCATGGAGGTTGAACCAGATAGCCCTTGCGGTCTCCATTATCTTGGGTTTTTGGATATTTCCTTTTCTTCCAAATATTTCCTTCCCATCCCTCTAACCCCTGGGCATGATATAATGGGAAGAAGGCTGGATATGGAACCAGAGGAGCTGAATTCAAATCCTGACACTTACTAGCTATATGACTGTGGGTAAGTCATTTCACCTTTCTCCCTTTGCAAAATGAAAGAGCTGGGCTAGATGAATTTGAAAGTTCTTTCTCCTCTAAATACCTGATCCTTCTCTTCTGTAGGTACAGGTGCTAGTATACTCTTAACTGACATTCTATCATGTATAATAATACATAATATAATAATAGTAGTAACTAGTATTTATACAACAATTTAAAGTTTGCAAAGCACGTCATATGTTATCTCATTTAATCCTCACAATAACCCTGAAAGGTAGGTGCTATTATTGTTCCCACTTTACAGATGATAAAACTGAAGCCTGGGGACATTAAATGACTTGCCCAGGGTAACGCAGCTAGTAAGTGTTTGAGGCAGGATTCAAATTCAGGTCCTGTGACTCTGTGTACAGAGCTCTACCTACTGTGCCACCTCGCTGCCAAAGATTTTGGTATAGTGCTTTATGTTTTTGCAAAACA